AGCTGTATAAAAATTTTTAACTTTGATTTTTGACCAAATTGTAGCAGTTGAGTTTAAATATTTGATTAAATTATGAAGACCTGAACTTTCAAAAGTCTTCATTGGCAGAGAGTCCATTATTACCCATTTTATTATTAATTGGTTCATATGTTCAGTTTGAAATTTATCCAATGGTATTGAAGAAAGTGATTTTGTGCTTGTGAGGGCATATTAAAATTAAGAGTAGATTGTGTTTTTGAGATATTTCCATTTTCATCATTAGAAGTATATATTTTATGTTTTATCAGATGTCTGCTTAATGTACCTAATTATTTTATTAAGAATAAGGTTAAATTATTTTGACAATGAATTATTCAGACAGTTTCTTAAGAAAAAATAGATATATAAATAATAACCAAAATATTTTAATAATACTGCTTATTTTGATTAATTTATTGCTTAAAAAATTATAAATAATTATTTTGTTACTTGTTGCTGACGGTATGTTAAATTTGGTATTACAGTGAACACATATTCTATGTTTTTTATTAGGACTATAAGTAAAATGTTTCTTGGACAAACTTATGGTTTTCATATTGTAAAAAAAAAATTAACAAAATCTAAAATAACTCCTACAGAGTTGTTAAAAGATCTAGATACATGTATCTAGATCCTGTATCTAGATATAAAAATGTGGTATCTATATATGTATCTAGATAGATTTTTGATTAAAATATAGGTATCTAGATATTTTTTAGAAGATGTGTATGTATCTAGATCCATTTAAAAAGTATCTTTTAACAACTCTGAACTCCTATCATAAAATAAAATATACAAAAAAATTATATTAATTGAATAGTAAAGTAAACTTAAATATTAATAAAAGACCGGCCGTAAAAAATAAGACCGGCCGTAAAAAATAAAAAGACCGTCCGGACCACGGTCCTCAACAAAAAGATCAGGGACCGGACCGTTGACCTTCACTAATAGTACGACACAAAATTTCTTAAATACTATCTTTATTATTAAAATAACATATTGATTTATTATAATATATTAATTTTGTTTAAAAATAATAACCAACGATCTTTTTTAAATACAAAAGAATGTAAACAAGATAAAATTTTATAAAAAAATTGTAATTTTACAATGTAAAAAAATATATTTTATGCTAATGTATAAATAAGATTTTATAAAAAAACAAACAATTTTAAATTTACAATGTAAAAAATAATTATAATCAGTGCGGGGAAGTTGTTCTACAGTATTTAGTTAATAAAATGGGGGAAGGGAATATGATATTTTGAGGCATCAAAAATCTTCAAAGCATAAATCAGTAGAGGGCAGTCTATCAACATCTATTGCAAAACAAAAATATTCTTCAAAAATAAGAAATAATACAGATGCAACTACAGTTGCGGAAATGGTAAATACCTATCATGCAGTACAACATTCAGAGAGCTACTTAACATCACAATGTTGGTAGAATCTTTCCCCATAATATTTAAAGACTAATATAAATGAAAAGTATACTTCGTAGAACACAAATGAGCAAGGCTATCATCAATGTTTTAGGATATAAATCCAGAAGGTCAATTCTTGACGATTTGAAAGATGTGCAAACATATGCAATTCTAACAGATGCATCTAATAAGGAGATATCAATACATTTCCCTTGATCCTTCCCTATTTCAACAAAATTAATGTCATTTCAATAAAACTATTAAAAAATTTTTCTCCAGATATGAAATATCCAAAGACATAGCTAACCATATATAATGGTAAATATACAGATTTGGCATTACCAATGAATTGCATGGCAGCTTTCTGATCTGATAATTCCTCAGTGAATTTGTCAAAAACCAGAGTGTATTTAAAGAATTGAGTCAGCATAATGTTGGTTGACAGGTTCCTCCTAATACACGCCATCGTAGAATTTTAAAATTTTACAAACCTTTAAAAAATAAATAGATTATAAAAGCTGTAATATTTTGAAAAAAATTTTCAAAAATAAATGGCAGAAGTATATTTAGGAATTTTACATATAGGAAATCTACTATATGCTGTTAATATGCAGTTGCAATCAGAAGAATATAATTTAATAAAGGTTCACTAAATGCTGCAGAAATACCAAAGTAAGAATATTATTACTATTATCGGATAATTATTAATAAGATTTAATATGATGTCATGTTAGAGGAGATTGTAATGCTTCTTTATTTTTATGATTTGCTAAAATATTCAAAATATTAATTTTACAATGTAAAAAAAAAATTTATTTGATTTTATGCAAATGTATTAATAAGATTTTATATAATATAGAAAGTCAAATAGTTATAGTTAATTATATTTTATTTGAGATTTAAATAATGGAACTAAACGTTTACCGTCGTTATTAAGATATTTATAAAATTCCTGGCATGACATTTTATAATTTTTTTTAACCATTAACTCGGCCTCTAATGTTGTTAAAGCAATTCGATTTCTCTCCTTTCTCCAGGCAGTCCTCATCAGGCTAAAATGCGCTCCGATGAGGCATTAGAATGAGGTAAGGATAAAACATACTCGCAAATTTTTTCCAAGCATGGGGATTTATCGTTATTACGAAAAAATTCCACCCATTTCTCCTCTGCTTTTAGACCATCTAACTTTAAGTATTCTGGCGAATCATAAAAAATGGAAAAAATTACAATCTCTTCAAACAAGGCTTCAATGTCTATCGGTAATTTTAATATATTTATTAAATTACAAAAACCATCAAATGATGGTTTCTGTTCTAAGGTCATAATATTTATGCACTTGTAAATAGTTATTAAAATCAAATCTTGATTGTAAATATTCCAAAATTGTCTTAATAAAAATATTTGCTTCATTTAAAAATACGTTAATTATAGTAATATTTGAACATTTTAATATGATATTTTTAGCAATAGCGCCATAAAATTTATTATCTATTTTTAACTGTAGAGATGAACAGAGCTGTAGCATGATTTTGTGAATCTTTATCAATAAAGAATCTTCTGATTGCAACTGAATATTAACTACATGAAGTAGATTTCCTACATGTGAAACTAATCCCAAATATGCTTCTGACATTTCATCCTCGAAAAAATTTTAGGACAGCTTTTAAAATCTTTATTTAAGAAGTATTTCTTTAAGGGTTCGTAAAATTTTAAAATTCTCTCGATGGCAGGTATTAATGATAACCACCTGATAGGTACATATCGCAACAACTCACACCATTCCAAATCAGACCACTCCACCAATTCTTTTAATTCAGTGACTCTTTTAGTTGATGAACTAAATTCGTTAAAACATTTCATCACAATTACTTCGACATCTACAGATAGTACATTCATTGCCTTCTTGCAAGAATTATGCAGTATATGGCATATACAGCCAATTGGTATTAATTCATTATTGTGCTGCCTCAATTCGGTAAATACACTTTGATTTTTAGCTATTGTTGAATAATATATCAATTATATTTATAATCTTTTGCTTGACATATACTTTATGGAATAGTATAAAAGTAAGTAGTGAAAAATATTATTTAATCAATATTATTCATCCACTAACTTTATTTAAAAGAATTAGAGATTAGAATAATATCCACTTCTAAAAGTTCTATTCTTCTAACACAAAAATTTTGAAAATGTCGAGTGGAGCACTGCAATTTTAGATAACGATATAAAATATATTAAGTAATTTAAAATATATTTATAATAATTATACATACTGTTCTAACTTCTATTCTTTCTAACACAAAAATTTTGAAAATGTCGAGTGGAGAATTTTATAAAAAATATATTTTAGAGCGGAAAAATAAAATAAAAGAACTAGACATATTTTCGAATAAATATTTAATTTTAAAATATAAAAATAATCAAATACTGTCTCTCAAAATTATTATTTATATATTAAAACCATTAAAATGCTAAAAAAAAAATTGTGGGAGAAATTAAAAAATTGTGGGAGCTTTTTGTGGGTGATTTCTAATTGTGGGAGTTTTGTGGGAGTGAGATGTATGTGGGTAAACTAAAAAATTGTGAAGGACTCCCACTGATGGGGGGAGACATGGCAACCCTGCTCCTATATAATAACTTTGAAATTAATTTGTTGTTAAAAGCAAATAAACATTTATTAGATTCTAATTTTTATGAAAAATAAATGTTTTTTTTTCAATGCAAATATATATTTTTATATTCGATGTAAATATTCAATTTTGCGATATTTTTTTATATAAATAAATTGTATATTATTTTAAATAACTGATTATACTTTGTTTATCCTAATTTTTTTTATATTAAATAAATGCATTCAATAAATAAATAATGCGCATATGAAGGATGTATAAAGTAAGTAACTAGTTACTTTTGAAAATAACTGTAACTAATAACTAGTTACTTTTGTAAAAATGTAACTAGTAACTGTAACTAGTTATGTTTTTGCCAATGTAACTAGTAACTGTAACTAGTTATGTTTCAAAAGTAACTTTTAACATCACTAGTTTTTTCCAAGGTTTACTTTCCATGGGATTTTTTTCCAAAGGGTTTTTTCCATGGGATATTTTTCCGGGGGTTTTTTTTTCCTATTACCATAAGGACTAGTATATTTTATATTATCTTAATAAAATCATTTTTGTTTTTGTGGCTGTCTGTTTTTATTTAAGTTTTTTTGATATAAATAAATATGATAAAACATGAAAAAACTTTTATAATATTTTAAAACTTTAACCGAAGAAGAATCTTTATAAATTTATAACTAAACCCTAACCGAACCGGAACCTTCATAATTTTTGCCCCTGAATCGTAACCGAACCGAATCCTTCATACATCACGGTTCGGGTCCCTGATAAGAAGAATAAAAAATTCAACTATAATGTAATATTAATTTATTATACTATGCCTACATAACCTATTGTATTTATTAGGTATTACAAAATATATATCTTGGTAACCGTTATATATACAATAATATCTAGAATTTAAAATCTACTGAAATATAAGACTTGTTATTACCACAATTGAGTCCTATAACGAGCCTTCCAAAAATTATCATTTCATAGGACCGAGTAGCTTTGGAACATCCCATCAATAGCGCAGCCAAAAATGCAGAACTGTTGTTGAATATCAAACACCCTTTCCTTCCAAATCGATCACAAAAATAGCCCGAACAGAGACCACCAATCATTCCACTTATACAAAATATGGATACCGTAAGTCCCCATAAAATGGATAAACGAGTCGAATCTAAAGTTTTTCCTGCGTGTCTTCCTTCGTATGAACTTGAATACCATTCTCGTAGAATAACTTCGGGAGCGTTGACCACACCTATGCTGTAACCAAATTGGAAAGAACTTAGGGCTACAATAGCCACTGTGGTGGCTAACATGCGAGTCATTCCATATTCCTTAGAATAATCTATAAGAAGTCAATTTGTCATGTATAAGGGATATTTCAATTATCAATGTAATTTTTAATTTTGTATTAAAATAATGTTTAAATGCCTATAATTTTCTTACCATTATCTCTCATACTTGAATAGCTTTATGGCAAACTCGGGATATTGCTTTACTTGTAGGTAATTATTAATATTAATATTATATTATATTATATTTTACGACAAATTATTTTTTTGAAATTCTAGAATATCAATTCACTTAAATTAATAGAGATTTTATATATCTCTTTTTATAAGTTGGTTTGCCGAGAATGAGATAAAATATTTAGACAAAAATATTAGTATATTATTTAGAAGTTACATCAGGAGCCTCGATATTTAGCCTAGCTTTTTTAGAACCCTCCTATTTTATGATAAACTATGTAAAGCTTCAAGCATTTTATTAAATACTTTTTAACATATCAACATTTTTCTTAAAGCAAAATCTCACATTTTAGCATTGTCAAACCGTACCTCCAAAACCGAATCTATATAATTTAATATTTTTAATGAATCTGAACTGATCCTTTTTTAAAAAAAAATTAAAGGAGTTAACCGAACCTTGGTCGATAAACTTTAAACTTCATATAGGTTTTTATTTTATAAATTTTAAAGATTATATAAAAATTTAGGGGTATGCCTATATTAAATATTGGATCGGATAGGCAAAAATATTTAGCGATTTCAAAAAATAGTAGATCGAGCTCATATTTATATTGTTTTTGTTTATTTTATGATTGTATATAAAATTATATAATTTTTTTTATTTTATAAATAATTTTATAAATAATTTCATAATATAAACTAATGATTAATGAATGGAACTAATTTACAATTAATTTTTTATAATATTTAAAAAAAATAGTTAAAAATTGTATTTTTGTTATAATATAAGCAACAAGAAAAGGATTTTAAAATATCTATTGAGTCACATTAGTGTTAGCTCGTTGTTTAGCCAATCTTTAAAAACGATGAACTCAAGATCTTGGTTGTAAGTAAATTCCTCAGACTTATTAATTTATCCCACAAATGGCAGAAATGTTTGGACTTCTATGGGCGAAATTTTGAGGCTTCGGTAATAATCCTTTTAAAAATCGGCCAAATAGAGATGTTTAGCAACATTATATTCAGCCATAAACATTGGAAATATTTTAAATGTGATCATTAACTTTTGGAGAATAAAAAAACAAGATACATTTAATCATTCGTGAATAGTAGGTTCTTTGAAAATAGAAAAAATTGATATTTTTATGGTATTGGTTCAAAGATAGATGGTAAATAAAAATAAATATCATATCAGTATCGGATCTGTTTTATAGTAATTTAGGAAAGAAGGATAGGTGAAAAATTTGTGGATGGGCACAGCCCTAAAAAAATTATATTATTGTTATCTTATCTCTTTGGCATATTTATCTATAGGCTTTATTTTTTTATATTTTTTATAATTTTTATTAAAACTATTGTGTATTATAATATGTTAAGTAATCTAATCTACTATATATTATATTAATAATTTAAAATTTTATAAATAAATTAAAAAATATATCAATTGTCTTTAATAAAAAAATAAGATGATTCTATTTTTCTATCTTATATTGCACGATTTGAAATTACCAATTTGCAATTTCTTCCATAAAATCAAGGAACTAATAAATGGTACATCCTGTGCACTTATATATCTTGATCCCCGATATCTAATATAATTGTCAGATGAACAAAAAAGCAGGTTAGAAAGTACTCTATAAAAATTAACATATAATTAAGGCACTTGAGGATGAATGTAGTATTGTTAAAAGGCTCGTTTTGAGCCGATTTTTAAAAAAAGACTAACTCAATATTTTAGCCAGAAAAATATTGCCTAAGTTTCGAGATTTCGCTAATAGTTGTCCAAAACAAACAAAATCTTCAGGCTTGCGTTATATTATTCTGAATGAAATATTGAGTTTGCCGTTTTAAAAAATCGGCTAAAACGAGCCGTTTAACAACACTAGATTAATGTTTAATGATCCGGCCCTGAAATTTTGGATTTTTATCGCAAATAAAAAAAAATATCAAAAGTCAAATGTCATATAATATAAAACAAAAGAAATGAATAGGTACCATTATAAATTCTTTTAATACAAAGGATTAATAAAAACACTGATAATCTGAAAATTAGAGCAACCGAACTCTATAGAAACAATAACCATGTCTGCCTTAGCTACAGAGATTTTGATCGAAAGAGCATTTTCAGGATTAAAATATATTTTATAACTACAAATAATAAGATGGCTAAATAATTGTATGATGATATTTTAATTGTAAGTTGTAATAACAATTGTAACCCGTCAAGAATGACGGGGAATCAGAATTTTCTCCTTATGAATAAATAATAAATGTTACTTTTATTTGACGATGAATGAATCAGAATAGTCAAATGAGAGGAATAGATTATCCGTATTCATTCTTGATTTTTATAAATTTAAAGGCCAAATATATTATGAATATGGAATAAAAAAATATGATTTGTGAGTTATGATATTTATCAATTCTTTTAACAAATTTTCCCACATCCAGACGCTATGGTTTTTGCCCTCTCACTTCGTATAAATTCTACATTCATCAGAATCATTTAAATGCTTTAAACTTTCCTAAATACTCTTTTAAAAAAGACCTGCCATCATAGATCTAATCAATTATGGGGGCAAACCTGATTATCTCACATTCACTGTGGTGATATTCACCCCATTGCAATGGGCTATTTAGAAGATTATTAGCAAAAATAATTGCTACGGGTCAATATCCAGGGTCGGGTTTTAACTTAGTATACGTATCAATTAGGATTTAATGTTAAGGTATAAGGCAAAATAGCTTCACATGCAGGGTTGCCAGGTCAAAATTTCCAAATTGCGGGAGAAATTTGGTATTATGTGGTAGAAATATAAAAATTGCTAAAGGCCCGAAAAGTGCCTGCCTTCGACCGGGATTTTGAATCGATTTAATTATCCGCCTATTATTTTTATAATTAGTTTATATAAATACAAAGTCGGTAACTATTTTTCAAATACTTCTTGATTTATTAGAATATATTAATTTATAAAAAAACCAACGATCTTTTTTAAATATAAAAGAATGTAAACAAGATAAAATTTTATTAAAAAAAACGATTTTTATTTTATGTGAATGTCCCGCAAAATGACCGCAATTGGAAATCTACCGTGTGTGTGTATAACATTATAGGGATAGTCCCTTAATTATCACGTATCACGTTTAAATACATAATAAGGTACTCCAAAAATAAGAAATAATACAGATGTAACTACAGTTGCGGCTTTTAATCACTTATCTTGTAGTGAAAGATTCACAGAGATACTTATCATCACAATGTTGATGGAATCTTTTAAACCGTTTAAATGAATTAGCCCTTTTAAATATTTATAAGGATAGATAAAAATTTGATTCTAGATGAATTAGCCAAATCTCAGAGAAAAGTAGACCTCTTTTTATAAATTCAAATCTATGATTATCATATTTTCGTAGTCATAAAATTTTTATATGCAAAACTTAATTATAAAAATTCTTAGTCATAATATTTATGTATTTTTAATAAAAGTATTGCTTTTCAATAAGAAATATTTATAGATTATTTTGTATTAATTATAATTGTTAAATTATATTTTTTAAAATACCATACAAGAATTACTTATATTTTATTGAATTATATATTTTTTAATATAGTTATTTAAATTTTTAATATAATAATCTACATAAAAATTTCTACATTTTGAAATTTATTTTATTGTATATTATCATTAAAATAAATGCATAGTTAAATAAAGAGATTTTATTTATACTAAAGTATTTTAATAATAAATAAAATCTATATCTAAAATTTAAAAAAGAATTATTTTTAACACTCAATCAGGTATATTGAGTGATCTTAAAAAATGTAAGGTTCGGGGAGCAAATTTTTTTCTTTCTAAACTATATGGATTAATTTACAATTGACTAAACATAGATTAAATTTTTAGAATAATGTTTTCAGTGTTCAGTCGCTTATTAATCATAAATTTAGCCAAAATTTTTACTAATATTTTTTTTATTCATGCTTGTTACTATAGTGATTAGACACTAATAAAGCACATAATATTGTAAATATTTAAAAGTAAAGTTTGGGGGCTTCGCCCCCCAAAAAAATTTAACCCCCCCCCCATCATGGATAAATCCTGGCTACGCCACTGACTGGATTGAATAAGAAGTTTTTAAAATTTTTGCATTTGTTTATCTTTTTAATTTCAGCCTGTGTTATTAAATTGAAATTTATGTTTGAAGGGAATGATGAGACACACGTGTAGTCTTATATGAGTGATTTGTCGAGGGCCCAAGGTATGGTTGTCATACCATCAGGTCTTAAACCATCTACTTGAGATAAATTTGATGGTTCAAGATTGTTTGGAATGTGTGCAGCTGTTAAGCTTCTATTTATTATATAGAATTATTAAAATCAAATTTTGATTGTAAATATTCTAAAATTGTCTTAATAAAAATATCTGCTTCATTTAAAAATGTATTAATTAGAGTATTGTTTGAACATTTTAATATAATATTTTTAGCAATATCGCCATAAAATTTATTATCAATTTTTAACTGTAGAGATGAACAGAGCTGTAGCATGATTTTGTGAATCTTTTTTAATAAAGAATATTCTGATTAACTGCATGAAGTAGATTTCCTACATGTGAAACGAATCCCAAATATGCTTCTGCCATTTCATACTCGAATAAATTTTTCAAAATTTTAGGACAGTTTTTAAAATCTTTATTTAAAAAGTATTTTTTTTAAGGGTTTATAAAATTTTAAAATTCAATCTATGGCAGGTATTAATGACAACCACCTGATAGGTATAGATAAATTTCGAAGCTTAGAAATGACACCCCGGTCACCGATAGGCTTGGACAGCCGGACCAACTCTTTTAATTTAT